TGTGAGAATGCTGTTTGTAGACTACAGTTCAGCATTCAACACAATCGTTCCTTCGAGGCTCGACTGCAAGCTCCGGGATCTGGGTCTGAACAGCACACTGTGCAGCTGGATCCTGAACTTCCTGACGGACCGACGGCAGGTGGTAAGGATGGGAAGTATCACATCCTCCTCTTTGACCCTCAACATCGGAGCCCCCCAGGGTTGTGTGCTCAGCCCACTCCTGTACTCCCTGTACACCCATGACTGCACTGCTAGACACAGCTCCAACGTCATCATAAAGTTTGCTGACGACACAACAGTTGTGGGCCTGATCTCCAACAACGATGAATCGGCCTACAGAGAGGAGGTTAAAATCCTGGAAAACTGGTGCCAGGAGAATAACCTCTCTCTAAACGTCAGTAAGACCAAGGAGCTGATCGTGGACTTCAGGAAGCAGGAGACAGTACACCCATCGATTTCCATCAATGGGACTGCGGTAGAGAGGGTCAGCAGCTTTAAGTTTCTCGGTGTTCACATCAGCGAGGACCTGACATGGGCAGTGCACACCTCACAGGTGGTGAAGAAGGCCCACCAGCGCCTCTACTTCCTCAGAAGGCTGAGGAGGTTTGGCCTGAACCCCAGCATCCTTAAGACCTTCTACACCTGCACTGTGGAAAGCATCCTGACGGGCAGCATCACCACCTGGTACGGGAACTGTACTGTTCGTGAGAGGAAATCTCTGCAGAGGGTGGTGCGGACAGCACAGTCCATCACCGGGGTTCAGCTCCCTAACCTATTGGATTTATACACCAGTCGCTGCCTGAGGAAATCCAGAAGGATTATGAAGGACCCCTCCCATCCTAGTCACTGTCTGTTCTCTCAGCTGCCGAGTGGTAGGAGGCTCAGAAGCTTAAAAGCCAGAACCAGTCGGCTCAAAGACAGCTTCTTCCCCCATGCAACCAGGCTATTGAACAGCCAGTAATCACTGCTCTGCCCAGCCCAACCCTTCCCATTACACGTACGTGCACCCACTGTACTCCCGCACTTTACTTGCATAGCTGGACTTTGAATACCTATCCAAAGACAATACTCTCCCCCTGCGCTTCCACTTAACTTCCTGTACCTTGCACTTTACTAAATACTCTGCCACCTACTGTACCATCTTCTACCTCCACACCTAGTGTGATTACTTGCACATCTACATAGCATTGTAATATCCATTACTATATAAAGTATATAGTTGATTACACTCACTCTACATTCCCAGTGCAATATTATATGTCTCGGTGCAATATTATTATTTTTAAGCTATTGTGTAAGATTATATGTATATATTTTAGTTAAATTGGTTTTATCTATTCTTCTATCCTATCTATAGTTTTGTTTATCTATGTGTAAATACTGTTCTCTGCATAATTTGTGGAACTCGCACTCAAGTTTTTCACTCACCTGTGTCCCTGTACTCTTGTGATGTGACAATAAATCTGATTTGATTTGATTTGATTTGAGTCCAAGAGAGCACAATTGGCCTCGCTCTCTCTGGGTGGGTAGGATGGCCCCCCTTCTCCCCCCATCACTTAACGCGATGCTAGCCGGTGCAGGCGTCTGTTAGCTGACGTAACAGATCTGGTGGTTGATGCTTTCCTCCGAAAGCGTTCGGCTGTCCAGTGACGTTGCGTGAGCGGCAGTTCGAAAAGAAGCGGTGGCTGGTTTCACAGGTCTCGGAGGAAGCCTGTGTTAGGCTTCACCCTCCTAGCGTTGATAGCGTCGTGTGACTGGGGGAGTCCTAACTAGCGGGTGGAATTGGAAACGACTAAATTGGGGCAAAAAATTGGGTAAAAAAAAATAAATAAAAGTATTTCAAACTCAGGGCTGTGCCTTATTGGGTAGATCATTCCTTGCAGTGTATGACCATTTAAGTTGGGGTGGAGTAATTTATGCCAGTTAAGTAGACTAATCAAGGTGTTGATTACTACTGATGGCACCCCTGCAATGGTGGGAAGCAAAAGGGATTTGCCAAAATAATTGAAGACAAAATTAGGCCCCCTGTTCTAGATTTCATTGCAATATACACTCGGAAAATTTCTGTGCAAAGGTGTCAAATTCTGATTGGTGGCGGTTGTAAAAATCATGAATTTCCAACAAGCTCACTCTGCCTTGACTCACAGGCCATTCCACTGGGGGGAGAAATGGAATGTGCCTACAAAAACATCCCACTTCAGTCCAGTTTCAGGTGGCTGAGTTGTGGAAAAGTGCTTGAGAGTTTTGTGAACTGCATTGATGCATTCAAGGGCTTTCTTGTTGAGAAGGACCAGCATTACTCAGAGCTTGAGGATGTCACGTGGCTTGAGAAATTTATGTTTTTGACAGACATTACTTCGCACTTGAATGAACTCAGTGTCTGTATGCAGGGAGCTGGACAAACGGTCGTGAGTCTAAGACGTTAGCTAACATTTCCATGTACATGAGAGAGCCTGAGTCAGAATTTTCCAGGAGATTCCAGGATTTTCAGAGATACGGACCAATGTTTTCTTTTCTCATACGTCCAGACAAGCTTAATGTGACAGACATGGACTTGTCAGTTTTTGAGTGGATGGGCATTGATGATTTTGAATTGCAAATGATCGACTTCCAGAGCTCATCTCTGTGGACAATGAAGTTTTGTGAGCTGCGCACATCACATGAAACATCCAAAGAAAATGCACAGTCCCTTTTTTATGTGTTGGACTTCACTTCCAGAGTAATTTGACTGTTTGGAGAAGATTGCATTGGCAATGCTGTCAGTCTTTGAGTCGACGTATCTGTGTGAGCAGATCTTCTCACACATGAATTCTGTTCTCAATCCTTCTCAAAGCAGCCTTATTGCAGACCACTCTGAGGCCTGTGTTCAGCTCAAAGTCACCTCATATGCACCACGGGACAAGGATCGCACTGAAATGTAAGGTTAATAAACTGATTAATTCGTTTGTAATATACATGGTAACAGTTTGTGTTATATGACTTTGTTATATTGCATGGCACACTTGAGCACTTCACCTTTGATATAGGCAATTACTGCCTCAACGTATTCATCAAAAGATTCACAGTCAGCCTTAAACATCCCAATCTGCGCAGTCCAAACAGAATTTAAAGGTGTCTATAGCATCATTCGACCAAGAGTTAACAACTGCTTTCTTGGGTTTGATGGTTTTGAGTCTTTGTCCGTATGCTGGAATAAGAAACTCCATGGCATGATCAGATTTGCCCAAAGGGGCTCTTAAGAATGCACAGTATGTGCCTTCAATAGTACAGTAGCAGTAGTCCAATATTTTATCATTTCTGGTAGGACATTTGACCTGCTGCTGGAAATAAGTCCCAGGAAAGTCCCCCAGCACTATGTAGAGTCAGGATACATGCTTTCCAATGAAGAGACATGCCTTGCCAGTTCACTGATGGCTTCCCTACTACATGCATTCACTGGGATATAAACTGAAATAATTGAAGCAATCTCTCTAGGGAGATAAAAAGGTCTACAGTTGATGTTGAAGAACTCAATGATTGGAGAACAAAACTGGCTTGAAACTTTAAGGTTATTACACCAGAGCTGGTTGACCATAAAACATATCCCCCACCTTTTGATTTTTACAACAGCTCAGATGACCAGTCCGCTCAATGAACTGTAAATCCTGAAGACAAAGTGATGCTTATTAGATATTATATGCTATAAGATCTTGGCCTTCAACTTGGGCCATAAATGTCAAAACTCAGACAAAACATGAGGACAAAACATCTCAACTATAGTCTGTTAGTGATGAGCTAACAGGGATTCACATGAACACTTTCTGATGAGGCTTAAATTAGCTTCTTATTAGAATTTTCCAGAATGTAATTGCTGTACTGTTTAAGGTGAGATGGAGAATTTGAAGTTCTAGATTAAACATTTGCAGCTTCTAAAAGACTTTACATGCTTTACTTGAAGCTTGTAACAGACATATTATCATATACTTCACCCTGCAGCAGTTTCACAGTGACTCTTTCAGTAGTGAGCTCTGCTGTAGAGCTGCTGCAGCTGTTTTCTGTTTATAACAACCCATTGATTAGACTGCTGCTCATATTCACTGTCAGTGACGTATCTAGAACTTCCAGAAGGCCTAGAGTGATGTTTTTTTCACAAAATTGGTTCTGCCTGTTGGAAATCAAAACATGATTTGTTGATTCCTCTGTTCATATTTATGCTGATAGTTTATCTAATGCATTAGCACGTCCCTTCAGTTCATTAAGTCCTGACCAACAGATGTTTATATGGCTATTATTGCTCTATTTAATTTAATTCAGATTGGCCATATTGGGTTTGCTCTATTCTGATTGAGTCATTTTTAATTATTAACACACTATTATGCTGTGTGTAAATATAGTGACTGTGTTTAAAGATAATTAATGTAATAATATTAATGCACTAATAATATTAATGCACTATTAAATGTACACATGCTTTTCTCTGCATTGTTTCATTAAAGCTTGCTGAAATACCTTGTGTAAAAGATGACAAATCCTCCTCTGAATGAGGAGAGATCTATAAGCCCCAAACTAAAGCCTTATTAACGTTTCAAGACTATATTAGAAATCACTAATAAAATGTGAGTGAGTCATTTGGCTGAATGTCTGTTTGTTCATCTGCTCCTGTCTGTCCTTCCACAGCAGTGGAGGCTGTTGCCCCTTACAGCTCTACCACTAAGCTGATTGGCAGTTTATATTAAAGGGTGCAACTTTCCCTGTGAACAGACACCACGTTAAGAGTTACGAGCTTTCCTGTATTTTTTATTGATAATATAACAAAAATCCTTTTGACAAAAAGTTCTTGAGATGACTAAGTTTTACATGCTTCACTGTACTTAGGTGTTTTGTGAAATCAGATCTTTTGAGATTTTTTGCAATAGCTGTGGCCAAATGACTCAGCTGTTTTACAACTTCCCGGTTTCATTTTCTGTCATTGCCTCTAAAAGCTGTTCTACTCTAGATGTTTGTGGATTGTGTCACAGAGATCACTGTGTGCAGCTCAGTAACGTGGACTGTACTCAATTCTGCTGGCGGCTGCTCACCTTACATTCTGTTTGTGGTTCTGAGAGTTTAAAGTGGACAAAAGAGTTTTTTTCCCTCTTTGTTGAAGATCTGGCACAACATGGCAGGAAACGTAAGTGTATAAAGTATCATCATTTAATTATGGATAATTCTCTCTCTCTCTCTCTCTCTCTCTCTCTCTCTCTATGTGTCTCTCTCTTTCTCTTTCTCTCCCTCTTGTTCTTCTCATTTCTAAATTATTAAGGATCGTATATATATTGTGAAGTTTTGCCTTTTGTTTCAACTGGTACTGTAAGAGCAGTAAAAACACTGAAAACATGGTCTTTTATCTTTCTTTCAGAAAACAGTCGACACCAAAAAACTTGGTAAGTGAAATCTTGGGACTCTCTGAAATTGTGTTTTTTCCTGTTCTGGGCAAATCTGACAAGCTCAGTCTCGATATGTACCCAGGTGCATTACCCCCAAAAGCTTCTTTGTGTTAAGATCATCTTAACTGGGATGAAGGGATAAACAAATAATGCCTTAACACGTCAGTAACTACGGTTTACTAAGGAGTACTAGTTAATTACTCAGTTTGTTGTCAGTCTAACGTCTCTCTTAGAGAACTACTTACTAACCTTAGCTTTTTTTTTTAAAAGAACTACTAATTTATAACTGATCACTTTAACATTTACTGTTTAATAGCTCTAGAGTTCTATTAGTTGCTAAAATACCACAGTATCCAGTAGATCAGTCTGCTTTTTTCTCTTTTTAGAATAGAAAACATAATTATTTTCTGCAGGATTGTGTGTACCAGTGTTGTTTCTTCTGAATAGTAGTTATTCTTTAAAGTCCTTTTGAGGGCAAGATCAATCAAAGACATGACAAATGATGAATTAGCTTCAGTTCATAAAATCAATCACTGGGCTATCAGCTCCTCCTCTAGATATCATTGACATGAAACATGCCATGACTATGCAGATGTTTCAGTAGGGAGCCAATAAAACCTGGCTGTTAGGTTCAGCAGTGAGAAATTATGACCACTGGAGAAAATAAAATGTGAAATAAACAAAACGTCTTAGTTTTATTTACAACCCCATTTCCAAAAAAGTTGGGATGCTGTGCAAAATGTAAATAAAAACAAAATGTAATGATGTGCAAATAATTTAAACCCTATATTTTATTGAAAATAGTAAAAAGACAACATATCAAATGTTGAAACTGAGAAATGTTATTGTTTTGTGAAAAATATAAGCCCATTTTGAATTTGATGCCAACAACATATTCCAAAAAAGTTGGGACGGGGACAACAAAAGGCTGGTAAAGTTGTGTAATGCTAGAAAAACACCTGGTGGTTAATTGGCAACAGGTCAGTAACATGATTGGGTATAAAAAAAGCATCACAGAGAGGCTGAGTCTTTCAGAAGTAAAGATGAGGAGGGGTTCAACACTCTGTGAAAGACTGCACGATCAAATAGTGCAACAATTCAAGAATAACGTTTCTCAACATAAAATAGCAAAGAACTTTTGCTTTTCATCATCTACATTAAAAGATTCAGAGAATCTGGAAAAACCTCTGTATCTAAGGGACGAGGCCAAAAACCAATACTGGCTGGCCATGATCTTTGGGCCTTCAGGCAGCACTGCATTAAAAACAGACATGATTCTGTAGTGGAAATCACTGCATGGGCTCAGGAACAAAACCACTGTCTGTGAAAACGGCTCGTCACTGCATCCACAAATGCAAGTTAAAACTCTAAAACTCAAAGACGAAACCATATATACACAAGTTCTAGAAACACTGCCACCTTCTCTGGGTCAGAGCTCATTTAAAATGGACTGAGGCGAAGTGGAAACGTGTCCTGCGGTCCGACAAATCAACATTTAGAATTATTTTTGGAAATCATGGACACTGTGTTTTCTGGGCTAAAGACCACTCAGCTTGTTATCAATACATAGTTCAAAAGCCAGTATTCATGATGGTATAGGGGTGCATTAGTGCACATGGCATGTGTGCACATCTGTGAAGGCACCATTAATGCTGAACAATAGAAACATGTTTTGGCAACATATGCTGCCCTCCAGACGACGTCTATTTCAGCACGACAATGCCAAACCACATTCTGCGTGTGCTACAACAGCATTGCTCTGTATTAAAAGAGCCTGGGCACTAAACTGGCCTGCCTGCAGTCCAGACCTGACACCACTGAAAATATTTGGGGCATTATTAAATGAAAAATACAACAAAGGAGACCCCGAAGTGTTGAGCAGCTGAAATCCTATATCAAACAAGAATAGAAAAACATTTCACTCTTAAAACTACAGTAATTGGTCTCCTCAGTTAGCAAACATTTACAGAGTGTTGTTAAAGAAGAGGTGATGAAACACAGAGGTAAACAGGCCCCCGTCCCAACTTTTTTGGAATGTGTTGTTGGCATCAAATTCAAAATGGGCATATATTTTTCAAAAAACAATAAAATTCCTCACTTTCAACATTAGATATGTTCTCCTATATGCTTTTATATTGGAATAGCTTGTGTACATGAACACAGTATTAATATAATTGTTATTTTCTATTTTTATTGTCATTATTTGAATTATAGATAATACGGATAATCGTTTTTAGCTAACTGCCAATCAAGCATTTTTTTCATGTTAAAATATTGTGACCAAACTTACACGCACTTCTATCAGATATGATTTTACTGTACAGATAGGTCAATTATAACAAAACAGTTGGTGAAATTTGCATGCGGAAAAATGAAGTGTAAATTAGTTGTTTACTGAGTTCTTTTGTGTTTGTTTACAATCAAATTTAAAATATTCCTGAGTTGGCTTTATCAGTTGAGTTGGTTTTGCTGTCCATTAGCTTTGCTCTCACTAGCTAAATTAACTAGCCAGCAAACACATTACAGAACATGAGCAGCAGCTTAAGGTTTAATAAAGCACCTATGTTTTAACAACATGTTTTAAACCTATGTTTAAAACATGTTCTAAAGCATAACAGCAGGAAGATAATAAAAAAAATCCAGACCTGTTTGGCTAAGATTATTCAGCTAGTCAGCTGTTTCTGAGTCCTTCATCAGGTTGGAAGTTGAGCTGCAAAACCTAGAGGTTTTCACAGGTGGTGAGGCAGGTTGGGCAGTTCACTGTTAAGTTATTCTCTTTAATAAATTTGAAATCAAATTAACTTGATTGATTTCCTGAGTATGCATCTTATATGCTTTAACAACTTCATTGTTTTTGTAAATATATGCTCATTCTGAATTTGAGGCCTCCAACACATTCCAAAAAAGCTGGGACTGGAGCATGTTTACCGCTGTGTTACGTCACCTTTTCTTTTAACAACACTTAATAATTATTTGAGCACTGAAGACACAAACTGATAAAGTTTTGAAAGCAGAATTTTTTGTCATTCTTCTGTAATACAAGTCTTCAGCTGTTGAATGGGACAGGGCCTTCATTGCTGTATTTTGAGCTTAAAAATACACACATATTCAAAGGGAGGCACCTGCACTCTTTGGTTACTCAGCCATGCTGATGTAACACATGCAGAATGTGGCTTAATGCTGTAGAAAATGTTGAAATAATCAGACGTCCCTGAAAAAGATGTTGTCTAAAAGGCAGCATATGTTGATCCAAAATTTCGCTAAAAATCCCCCCAGAAAAATAAAGCCTGCTACTGTCATGACTTTTTTGGAACATGTTTTAGGCATCAATTTCAAATAAACGTATTTTCACAAAAAACAATTAAGTAGATACATTAAATATTTTGACTTTGTACTGTTTTTTTTCAAATACAGGTTAAACTAGGTATGTAAATCACTGTTTTCCGTTTTTATTTGAATTGTACTGACTGTCCCATCTTCTTTGGTTAAGTTAAACCTCTCTTGTTGTGTCTTAACAGACACTGTCTTTGCAGAATCCAGAGTGGACACACCCTCAGTCTCCTCTCGTCTGAAAGCCTTTCGTCGACAGTTTCATACAGTCCGTGCTGCTGCTGGGGACACTGTCCACCTGCACTGTCGCCTCTCACCTGAAATCAGTGCAGCGGCCAGAGAGATCAGGTGGTTTAAGGGGACAGACTGTATTGAAGTGTTTCAGGTCACTGTGGGAAGTGGCTGTGAAGGCAGTGTGAAACTGACACTGAGAGATGTTAAAGTCGCTGATTCTGGGCAATACAGGTGTGAAATGCTGGGAGAGAAGAAAGAGGAGATCTCAGTTATTCATCTGCACGTATCGGGTGAGTTAAGATCCTCCTGTAAAGGACATTCAAGTACATTTATAATGCTGTATATGTTGTATTGCTAGTAAATACTATATATACTGTATATCACCCACTACACAGCAGGAGTCAATTGTAACGTCTTCTAATATTAGTTTAAATATTAAAGGGGAATATAAGGGTTTTTTCTTTTTTTGGATTTTTATCCAATTTTCTCACCAATTTAGTCGTCTCATATTCCACCCGCTAGTTAGGACTCCCCCAGTCACACGATACTACCAACGCTAGCAGGGTTAAGGCTAACACAGGCTTCCTGCGAGACCTGTGAAGCGCCGCCGCATCTTTTTGAACTGATGCAACGTGATTGGACAGTCGAATGTGCTCGGAGGAGACACTAACCGCCAGATCTGTTACGTCAGCTAACAGATGCCTGCACTGACTAGCATCGTGCTGGGTGAGGGGGCGAGGGGGGGCCATCCTACCCACCCAGAGAGCGAGGCCAATTGTGATCTCTTGGACTCCCGGCCACGGATGGCTGTATCATCACCAGGGATTGACCTCGTGATCTCCTGATGATAGGGCCAACGCTTAGATGGTTTCGCCACTCGGGGGGGTTTTCATAACTTCTGCATAATTCAATCATTGAGATGTAAATGAACTCATGCAAGAGTGGTTTGATAAGAAATTATTCATTGTGGAGAAACTTAACCAACTCAGATTTCTTTACAGTGGTGGTGATAGGAACCAGGGGTCACACTTTTCTATGTAAAATGTGAGCCTACATGTGTATTTTGAGGTGTATATGTACTGTTTATATTGGTAAAATACCAAGAGTGTATTTTAAAATATATATATATATATATATATATATATATATATATATATATATATATATATTTTAGGTAAAAACCTTAACCGAGAACTTTTGTAAAACACTGTCTCAGACATCAGGCAACATATTTATAACAGTGTAACATGTTCCTGTATAACAGCTTGCTGTGAAGGAGCTTTTAGAGGCGTTATATGCTGTGGATGTCTTGTTTCTGTCACCATCACTGTGAACAGTTCAGACTTACTACATTTCTGTATAATGGAGCACTTTGCAATGAAACTCTCCAAGTTCCCATCTAACTGCAAAAACGGCCAGAACCTGCTGTCAGATCCAAACACATGAGGCTAACTCAGCTAGTTTGTGCTAATGGTCATATAGTTATTAGATACTAAGCGTGGCAAAGGCTGTGTGTTGTCTGGGGCATGACTTTAAAGTTTATCTCAGAATATTAATTTATCAGCTGTTTTGCAGATCATGTGTCATTAAATATCATAAAAGTATTAGAAAACACTGATGTGTACAGTCTAGCATCAACATACACAGCAGTGTTTACCTGTAAAACACTCCAAGTTCCCATCTAACTGCAAAAATGGCCAAGACCAGCTAATTTCTCTCACTACTTGCTTTAGTCCACTGCTCCCATTAATCCCCCAAGCACGAGTCCAGTACAACAAAGATGCTGAACTTATCCCTCACGAGCATGTCCACTTCTGAGGACATTATTAGTTTAATCATCTGTTAATAGATAAAATGTAACTTGAACGGAATACACACACTATCTAAACTGCTTATCCTTCTGGGTCGCGGGGGGTGCTGGAGCCTATTCCAGCTGACATTGGGCGGAAGGCAGGATACACCCTGGACAGGTCGCCAGTCAATCACAGGAACAGAATACAGATAGCTTATACGTTCTGAACACATATTCCCAATACTTTTATTCTGTTACATCCCAACTCTATCCATACCCCATAATCTGACCACCTGAATGCATGCTTTGTCGAGCACCATGTTTTACTGTCATGGAATTGTTTGCAGTGTTAACAGTTCATGATAAACCATAAAAGGTCAAACTGCTTGTCATTTTATCAGTTTAATTCTCATAAAATAAACTTGTAATCTATTTACAGTTATTTGTATGTGACTATGTTATGTAATTATGTCAAATTATGTAATTATGTAAAATATCCTGATGCTCTGTGGGGTAAAAGACCATGATTGTGGTAAAAATCAAAGTGCTGTTCCGCTGCTAATGTATGAACACTGTGTTGATTCATAGCCTAGTTTCTTGTTGTCTTAATGGACGTACTAATCTAATTCTAATCTAATCTTTGTTCTTCCTCTCAGAGTTTAAACTGGTCTCCAGATTAGAAGATGTTGGAAAGCTGTCTGATGTTGAACCTCTGAAACCCACTTCCAAGAAGCAGAGCTCTCCAGATTTTGGACCTCATGCTTTTTGTGGTCATGATGTCACCCTGCCCTGTTACCTCTCTCCTGAAACCAGTGCTGTTGCCATGGAGATCAGGTGGTTTAAAGGGACAGACTGCATTTACCTGTATCAGAATGGTCAGGTGACAGAGGGGAGGGGCTACGAGGGCAGAGTGAGCATGACCGACGAGCTGCAGAGAGGAAACGTGTCTCTGAGTCTGAGAGATGTTCAGTGGTCAGATTATGGAGAGTACTGGTGTGAGGTCACTCATGGAGGACAAAGGGTGAAAAATGATGGAGTGCAAATAAAAGGTAGGACTGCAGTTATTCAAAATATATAGAGTTAACGTCAGAGTTAAACCTTAGAACCCAAAGCTTTTATTTTGCAGGCAGTTTGTGTGGCTATTTTTAGGCTTTATAGCTCAGGAGTGAACTCAATCACAGACATTATACACATCACAACAAATGGCAAAGCATCAGTGAGTAATCCGATTCGAAAAACGAACCACTGTTTACCATTAATAAAATCTGTTTTTAGGCTTCGAAACTCAGGAAGGGGTTAAGTTGCAGACATGCACATATTTAAACAAAGCAGAGAAAATACAGACTTGAAAAAGATTAACTGTGACACAAACCAAGAACTAAACAACATAACAAAACAGATCAGAGTCTTCACAGGAGCTACAAACAGAGCAGTATATATGAGGCAGGTAATGATTGGAGTCCAGGATCGGCAGGAAATTAAAAACAGACACACAGGGCTTAGCCATGTGCAGTACCACAGAGGCCCAGCAGGGGGACATTGTGACAATGTTACAACAATCTATAGGACTCACCCTCTGTAATGGTTGCATCAGCAAAAATACCATTTGAAAATGGACCTAAAATCCACTCGTTGTCCTGATAACAGATCTGAACAGAAAATACACCCCATCTTTTCAATTTCCGTTTACATGCACAATATAAGTAATCCGATCCAAAATTATGCATGTGTAGAGAACCACTTAGTGTAGACGTTACCATGACAACCAGCATCACGTGAGTTCAGTCAGAGTGAGATGAGCAGCAGTGAGCAGCGCTTGTGTTTTTAATTACTTTAAAATGATGTCAGACTCAGGAAAACGTCCTTCACATGTCCTTATTAAAGACTGAGAGGAAGACGTCGTGTTCTGAGACACATAAGCTGGACGTCCGTCCCACCGCCGTCTTTTAAAGATCAGGGCATAAACTTCGTCTCCTCTGCAGACCAGTTTCTGCTCCGCCATGTTGAACGGTATAAACTCTCACTATGACGTGACGAACATGATCAGAACGGACTTAAACTCTTATCTTTTTGTCTTCAGAGTCATCAGAGGGAAACTTTATCTGTGACCTCATCACAGAATTCAACATCTGAAGTGTGCAAAACATCATCTAGATAAAATAGAGCCATTATGGAAACAAGTGCTGAACATTGATAAAGTAAACATGGAACTCTTTGTTCCCAAACACTAAACAAAGTATATTTGGAGGAAAAAAAGCATTTAATGAAAAGACGCCTTGCCAGCTGTTAATCATGGTAGCGGATCTATTAATCTTTGCAGTTGTGTGGCTGCCAGTGCACAGAAAACACTGCACAGGTAGATGTAAGAATGGATTCCACTAAATATCAGCAAATTCTGGAAGCAAACGTGACGCAGTCAGTCAAGAAACTGAAACTGTAAAGAAGCTATTCTACAACAGGATAATGATCCAAAACACACCTCAAAATCCACCATGAACTATTTCAAAAACCACAAACTGAACTTTTGGAACGGCCTCCATATTTTTAACACCTGTTCTGGAAAGAAGAGTGGGTGAAAATTCCCAAACCAAGAACAGAAAGACTCATATTTAGCCACAGAGTGTAGCTTTGCTGTGATATATGCCTGACTTGGTAAGGTGTCCAGATTTATTCAATCAAATATAAAGTAACTGAGCATTAACAACTGCAGACAAATGCACAAAACTTTTACATACAGTTGTAAGCATGTCTTAAAGGCACAGCAGAATATCTTTCATAATCCATGCTTAACATTGTAAAGAGCATTAAAGTTATACTTAACAAAAAACATAATTACCAACTTATTTCAATATCATTGTGTAAATGTGTATAATAAGATTTTGAATTAGAAAATGAAGAATCTCACTAACTGCACTTCTATTGTTTTATTCCACAGTTCCATCTCTTCCCAGTGAGTATTATATTTCTCCACTCTGAACCCCTTTCACTCTCTACACTCTCTTTTCAAAAAATGTTTATAAATTGCTTGTTTTAAAGGTCTATAAGATGTTGAATTTGAACATGAACAATCTCACTAACTGTACTTTATCTGTTGTTTTATTCCACAGTTCTACTTCATTTCAGTGAGTATTATATTTCTCCACTCTGAACTCTTTTCACTCTCTTTATTCAGAAAGATGTTTATAAATTACTTCTTTATACAGAAAACTTTGAGTCACATTTACATTAAAGCCTCTTTCACAAACCATGATATGCTGTGATTTTCAGTATTAAGGTCTTTACACACTGAGCATGATTTATTTGTGTGTCAGTAAATTAATTTGATAACGTGTGTAACTGATGATGTCAGTTTTTGTGCACCAGACATGATTTTTCAGACGGCAAAAGACGACATTATTTTTTTGTATGATTTCTAAGAACTCTTGCAGGTGACATGAACTCACTGACCAATCATGGTCGTCTCTGGTGTTGATGAATCTCTGTGTCTCAGTAACTACATCTTTAAATGAAAAGATTAGTTTGTCTTCATCACTGATTGTGTCAGCATCTCCAAAAGCAGCTCAGTCAGAGTTGCAGAGCTGAGCTGTGGGTGAAAGATCTCTGAAAGTTTCAGCTCCTTAATGAGGCTCTTAAACTCTCTGTGCTGCTTTTGCTTTACCAAACAAAATGAACCAGCTTTGTGAGGAGAAAGGAAAATCGTTTTGCATTTGAATGTGTTCTACATATGTGTTTTTTTTACAATGCAGTGAATACTGCAAAATTCCAGAAAAAATTCCAAAAAATATTTTTCAGTTTTGTGTTGTTTTTTAATGCTGCATTTGGTGTGTAACCATCTTAATGTTTAAACAATTTGGTTCATTTAAATTATCAGAATATTTTATCAATGTTCCACCAAAAACTCCTGTACAGACTTCAGCTATCCTTGCACTGACGATAACACTGTGGAAAATGGGAAAAGAGCAAAAATGTTATTATTATTATTATTATTATTATTATTATTAGTTTTATTAGTATTATTGTTATTATTATTATTATTGTTATATTATAATATTAATATAATAATAATAACAATAATAATAATAATAATAATAAAATATAATAATAATAATAATAATCATCATTATTATTATTATAATTATTGTTGTTGTTGTTGTTGTTGTTATTATAATTTTATAATTAATATTACATCTAAATTATTCTTACTAAATGATGTTAAACTCCAATAAGGAGTTTAACATCATTTAGTAATCAGATCACATCATTCTATAGTGATGAAATAAAAAAAATATATTAGAACTTATTCAGCAGAAGAATTCATACCTTTAAATTACAAGAATCAGTTTCCAGTGAGAGAAGAAATAAATCAATAATCACTGATAATTATTTGGTTATTATTGTTTTAACTTTGAACATGAAAAATCTCACTAACTTTATCTGTTCTTTTCCACAGTGGACTGTTTTTGTGAGTATTATATTTCTACTGAACACTTTTCTCACTGTACTCTCTCTCTTTGAGAAAGATGCTTATAAATTGCTGCTTCTTTCTTCTTCTTCACTCACCATGATTTTTCAGTATAAAGGCTTTTACACATCAGGCACAGTTCATTTGTGTAATTTATTCCATTCCATTTATTAATAAATCATTTCAAGCATGAACATAACTGATGATACTGCATCTCACTCACCAAATGGGATTGTCAGACACCAGAAATGTGACATATTTTATTATCTCTGTTTGATTTTTGCGAACTTTCACAGGCAACATGAACTCACTGACCAATGACAGTCATCTCTGGCTTTGTTGTATCATCTGTGTCACACTGACCACAACATTTTACAAACGTTAAATGATGTTTTAAAGTTTTTCTTCTGCTTCATCAGTTTAGCCAGGAAGCTTAAGCCCAAAGTCTAGCTTGTCCAATAGAAAACAAGCTGAGAGATTCTTATTGGACAGTCCTCATCTTTGGGCTTAAGTTATCTGGCTAACTGAGAATCCTGCTTTGTTAAAAAAAACCCAAGCAAAAAAATCACTGGGGAACAAAGTGGTGAACAACAGTGGCTAAATCCCCAGAGTTTCTTCAGTAATGCTCTTTTTCCAGTTCACTAAGAGAATCAAACAGGGCTGAATTTGAACAT